ATGCACGAATACAATAATATTCTCTAAAAATGAAAAGCAATGTACCTGGAGCAGGAAGATTATAAAAACGGAGATTTGATCAAATCCCTAAGGGGATCAACTCACTGAAGGTGTTAAAATAACAGCTTTGTAGGGTTATTTCTCGAAGTGATTTTATCAAATCCCTGAACTGGTTAGTGAAAAAAAAGAAAATAATAGTGCTTAGTTGTTACGCTCAATGTAATTATTCGGTTAATATTAATAATCATTGATTATCATTAATAATAACTAAGTAAATCAGTTGAAATGAATAAGCTATCAGAATTTGTCGCATTTATCGGTTATTATTAATAATTACAAAATAAGTTTGGTTAAGAAAATAATCCTATTTGGCAGGAAATTTCCAATACGTATTTAAATAATATTTTCCCGAGCAAACAACTAGACAATACTTGCTGTTTGCTTACTTTGGATGACGCGACGCCGTACTTTGTATCCATTTCTCATTTCTTATGCGAATACTTTGTGATAGAAGGTATTGAATTTGTTTTATTTGAATCTTAAAAGGTTTTAAATCTTAAATCACATCAGTATTAAGTTTTCCAATATATATATATATATATATCACAGGCAAATATATAAGCACTTAAACATAGAAAACATCAGTTTCGGGTGCATCCGACAAATGTACATCAGGCAGTGCTATTTAAGCTTTAAAAAACATCACTGTATATAAAAAAGGCAATCCCCTCAATTAATCTGATTATTAAAAGGTAAACAATGATTATTATCAATAGTTTCATTCCATACACTAATATTTTCTCTAATCTTGTGACGATAATAAAATTTACAGAAATTTATGGATAATAAACTCTGCTAGGAAATAACCTGGCAGAGTTGTTATTTTAACATCCTTCGTGAAATGATCCTGAAAAATTTAATTAAATTTTCGTCTTCATTAGTTCTCTGCTACATATCTTACAGAGACCATTGCTGAAGACAGTCAAAGACAGTCAATTGCTACTAAGTCCACTTTTGGGAAAAAACGCACTGTTAAATTCAAATACACTTAAATTTCACGAAACTTTCTTCGTTTTTGACGAAACCGTATCCTGGTATATTCTCCGAGCAAGCATTTCGTCAAAGTGAAGTAACAACTATCGTCTGTTCTTCGGGGAAACGAAATTCAGTCAATAGTAAAGAAATATTTCGTCATTTCTGCTTATTTTTCTGTAATAAATAATTACCTCGCCGTGTCTAATCTATCTAACTTTTAAAATAATCACTTTATCGTGGGCATCATATCGTTGTGTCAATATCATCTTAATAACAAAAGAAAAACAGAACAGAGAGATAAATTACACCAATGGCAGAAATGGAAATCAAACCCGGTATCTTCCTGGTACGAAGCCTACTCTTTGACCACCATGCAAGTCAATCGGCTTATTCCTTCGCTTTATTTTTGATTGTCTAGTCTTCAACCTAGTTTCGTCATCTTAGTCAACAATTTCCCACAATGCATCAGATGAGATTTCGAGTTGAGAAAACATTTTCGTCATACTTTTGAGGAATCCCGTTTCATCACAAATCACGGGTTTCGAGACCGAAATAATTCTCAAAATTAACAAAATATATCTCAAGGATTGCTGAATCGTCAAAATTGAGAATTTTATTCCTGAGAGTGTAATGTTCAATTTTTTTGATTCCATTCGATTCATGGTGAATCCCATGTAAAAATTGTACCGTTTCTTAAAAAAACATTAAACTTTTAGATTTTCAATAAAGGCTTTCCAACTTGAGGACGATTAAGTGTCACTTTGTAATTGTTCGATTCAAGTGGAGTCTTGTGCAGCCTATTTTTTAAAATTTATTCTTGAAACGAGAGCCTAATATGAACTACATGGGGCTAATGCTGAACAGTTGTCTTCACTCGAAATATATATTCTTTGCTCAATATTAGTTCGTAGATTTTGGCAGATTGACAAAGCTGAGCGTCAACTTTTGTATATGATTGCGTGACAATACTTTTGATTCTTTGGTAGCAAATAAAAAAATCGTTTTATATTTGGAAATAAATTCTTGATTTACTTTTTCAATGATGCACAAAACTATTTTTATTCTTAGTTTTCAATTATAGGACATTTTAGTCATTAATAAATATAGTTATTGCATGCTTTTATGATCACTTTTGGTTTGCTTTATTTTAATAAACTGATAATGAGTTTAAACGAACAAATGACTCAACAAGGCTAGTGTGGATACATGGTTGTGGAGAAACTGAGGACATGTAAATATTAAACTGCTTGTGATAATAATCAGGGTCACTCTCATGAAGGTATTTATTTAATGAATAAGATTAATTTTGTAAAACACGTATTTAAAAATTTTTTTTCACATTCTCTTTTTTAAATTTGATTATATTCCTGTACAGTGAAAAATTTAGTTAAAAAATAATGCTTTAAAACATTGTAATTTTTTTTTTCATATTCAGAACGTTAGTAACCCATAACCTTTTTTGATTATTTTAATCAGTTGTTTTGATTTTTTTATAAGTTGTTTATCTGTTTCTTATCAATATCACAGTCACGTTGTTATATGTGTTTGCGAATTTCTGTTGATGCCTCTCCACTGACATTAAATATTCATTTGTCAAACTACATTATAAAACAAAAACAGAATTCAACTTGATTATTAAAATTAATTTTTTCCACTGAATAAATATCAAAACTACGCTTCTAATATAGTAACTTATTCTAGAAAATTTTTTATCGCATAATGTAAATATAGTTTAATTATAAATTAATATTTAAAAAGCTTAATTAAAATAAAGATTTTTAAGATTACTTACTGTCGACTTGCTTTTTATTAGTAAATAATTAATTTTTCAGACTATGTCATTGTGTGGTTTTTTTGTTTTCAATGATATCGGTAGCATTCCTTTAAACATTAATCTTTGACTTTCCCGTGCTAGTAAGCATGCCAAAACGTTTGTGAAGATTTTTAACTCCATCTTTTTTACTCTATAAAAAAACTAGTTAGGCTTAATATTTTCATTTAAAATATTTTTATTTCATTCTAAAAAGTGCAATTCATTTTTATACAATAATTTTTAAATATTTTGTAAAATGTTTAATGAGATGCAATTTTATATCACCACATTTGTCATTGGAATCAAAACGCAAAATTTGATTCATATAATATAACGATACCAATAACACCTGCTTAAGAAATGAAACATTAATTTAAATAATTAGTATTTAATGTAGTAAGGATAAATTTGAAATACATATTGTGTAATTTTTTTTTTAAAAAAATGCATCAAAATGTAACTTTGCTTTATTAAAGAACATATGGTTATTGGTTCGATCCTGGGACTGGGCAAGGTTGACTCAGCCTTTCATCCCTTCAGTGAGTCGATAAAATGAGTACCAAGCATACTCGGGAACTGGGGGTTCGGCGTGGGGCTGACCACCCAACTGGAACATCTTCTCTGGGACCCCAGAGCTCAAAGAATACTGAAATGGGCACAGTAGGTCTTGGCCCTCTATGGGCTGTGGCACCACTGAGTTTAGTAGCGCATATTATTATTCCATTTTTAATTAAAAATTTATATTTAGTTCGAGGAACAGATCTTTTTTATATGAGTTAGTCTATAAGTTCTTGAGCTATAGTTAGATGAGTTAATCTTATATGAGTTATCTGAATTCAGTTAATTCTTACCTTTTCTAATAACATTGTCAAAAATTGCACCAAAATTACTTCCAGAAATATCAATTTTATCATTATTTGCTGATTTGGCTCTGCAACTTAATTGCCAAATCAATAAACAGTAAAATCTAAGAAATTTTTGGCAAAAAATATTAGAAAATAAGAAATTACAATAAAATCAAGATAGTTTAGATAAACTATTGTCTAGTTCAAATGCGCCAGAGCAACCAATCCAGAAGAAATAAATGCTCCTTGCGACGAACGATGACTTTTCTGGCCATTGGTTATGGTGCAATTCTCAATTTTTCTGATCGAAATCTAATCGACTGAGCTCTCTCCAATTACGTGATTACTGTACTGCATCACCCTGTAAAAAGTGTATACTGTAAATTGTAGTTGAATTCTGTAAATGGCATGTAGTAGAAGAATTTATATATTTTCCTATAGTTAGACTCTGACGTTACATGAAATAACGCTCTTTTAAGAATAATATAAGATGCTGAGAATTTGCAACAGTTATTTGTAATTGTTAGATAGACGCTTGAAAACGATTTAAAACGTCAATCTAACTACAGCTTTGTGAAAATAAAAAGAGTTTATTATCAAATTCTTTAATATTTGAAAAGCTATACTAGAGGTACTTTATCTGACTTCATAACAAATTTGCGAAATTTATTCATTGATTAAAAATTATTGAAAATGTATTAAATATTTATTGAATTTTTATCCATTTATTAAAAATTTATTCGTTGATTTTGATAGTTTTTCACTTGATCGAAAATTCTCAAAAAATTAGCGATTTTCAAAAACATTTAATACATTCATAAATATTTCATTCATTTGCGCGATTTGGAGTCCAGATAATTTTTCACGGCAAGATAATGGTTAGAATTATAATGTTTGCCTCAAGTGTAAAGCATTTCAGCCATATTTTCTTTTATTTTCCTTGACGAGAAAGCTTCGAAAAACACTGCTAATGATGTTAATTATTCCGAACATTATATTCTTTGTAAAAATAATAGATACCTCAAGGTTGCGTGATTTCCCCATTCCTTACACTTTCCCCCTCTCCATCACCATGGTCTCGTCAAATCTTGTTGTTTCCTCATTGGTATTACTTTTCAGTAAGAAGTTGGACTGTACTTGCGTGGGGAAAAAGCAAGATTAGTCGTATCCATGGAAAACAGTGAGGTGTGGAGAAATGACGTAATCTTATATTCACAAAGAGTTTAACAAATATCGAAACGAAGAGTAGAACAAATGTGTTTTTTTAATGTTTAATAAAATAACATTGTTTCTTCTTTCTTTTTCAGAGTGGATTGCAGAGGAATGAAGTGCATGCTTTTTATGTGGACGCACTTTATAAATAATTTAGGGAAAAGGATGTGCTCATTGTGATATTTTAATCGTGCACCTACTTAATAGTGAGGAAATCCTCCTGTAGATCTTTTCTATACTTCCAATGACATACATGTGTATCATAATTTGTATATATCCTTACCTTTATAAAAAGAATGGCACACTACATTTTTTTCACTATCGAGGTTTTTAAACACATTTATTGTTTCTACTAATTTAGACAATTCATTTATATCTTTTTTCATGCAGTGAAGTATAATATATAGCTTTTATTCAAGGGTAGATATGATTTACAATTGCTTCTGGATTTCAATAAAAAAAAGTAAGGTTGTTTTATGTCACACCTGTGACGTGTATCGAAAGCCAAAAACATGATAATTCACTTATTTTTAGTTTTCGAAATAAATATTCAAAAATCGGTTTATGTCAGAAGTAGAGAATGATAATTAAATTGAAATCTAACAAACAAAGCATAAATATTCATCACTGAACATCCTTCATGCTTTCATGTGGGAGCTTTTCTGTGAATAACTGTTAGATGATTTTTACGAGTTTTTATATAGGAATATGATTGAATTGAAAAATAATCTTTATTTGACTAATTTAAAATAGTTTTTAGGTAAATGACACAAAAAATAGTTTGGACACATATTCAATGTAGTTTTAATGCTTTTTAAAATATTACAGCTGAAGTTTCGGATAGGCATGATATTACTAGTTGTAACATATTTACTAAAAACTTCAAGTTGATAATTTTTCAGCAGACAAGAAAATATATTGTAATTTTTTTAAATTATGGGTAGCAACTCACTCACTGAAAATTTGGTCCTCGCACAAAGAGTTTTTTAGGGACATATAGAAGTCTTGTGAGGTTTTGTATAAACTTGTGTTTTCAAAATGAACAGAACGAAAAATTCTATGCATTCGAGTTTGGTAAATAAAATTTTAAGTATGAAAATAATTCTTCATAGAGCTAATTTAATTTAGAGTCAAATTATACAGAAATAACTTGGACACATATGAATTTTATTGCTTATTTAAATATTATAACTGATCTTTCAAAAAAGAATGAAAATATTATTAACTGTAACGTAGTTTATAAAAAGTTGATAATTTTTCAGCAGAACTGTAAATATGTCAAAAAATTGTTATGGACTCACTCACTAAAATTTTGTCTCTTGCATTAATAATTTTTTAGGAAGTCTTGTAAGGATTTGTATCAACTTCTCATTTCAAGATGAATTTAACGGAAAATAATGCATTCGTGTCTGGAGAATTAAAAATTTGAAGTATTAAAATAATTCTTCCTTGAGCAAATTTAATATAGTTTTCGGGACAATCATACAGAAATAACTTGAACACATTTACAAGGTAACTTTAATACCTATTAAAATACTACAATTGAACTTTCAAATAAAAATGAAAACATGACTAGCAGTAACATATTTTTAAAAAAAAATTCAAGTAGACAATTTTTTAGCAGAGCACAATTTTTTAGTCAAGAAATATTGTTATTGGCAACTGAGTTGTTCACTGAAATTTTGTCCCTTGCACAAAGATTTTTTTAAGGGATATAGAATTCTTTTGAGGTTTTCTGCAAATTTTTGTTTTTAAGATGAAAATTTCTTGCATTTGTGTCAAGAGAATATGACCATTCTTGAGTGTGTGTTGCAGCAGCATAATCAACAACCATGTCTCATATTCATATTTGGATACGTACTTGCATCGAAATGTGACAAAAATATCTGAAACTTTGGAGTAAGATTATGATATTTGCTTTTAAACTTTTTCCAAGTTATTTCGTGACCCTGTATATTAAAAATGTTTTAGCTTTTCTGATTTTAGCGTAAGATCAGTTTCAAAGGAATATTTACTATATTGAAAAATTTCATTGCGAAGATTTGTAAAATAAATGAAACTTCGTTTTAAAGGGTTTTAAATAGTAATAATATTAAATAAAATAAAATAACGTAAGTAACAAAATTATATTACAGAAGATTTTTATGTGTTATAAAAATGACATCACTTCTTTTTGCAAATCGAAGTTAGTTAGTTTAAATATTTTTATTTATTTCCTAGTTTATATTCCTTCTTAAGACAGACTATTTCTCTGGAATTGTTTTTTAATCTTACTTTTATTAAATTCCTATAAACTAGCGTTTACCAGATGGCGGTCCATGAAAGAAATTGTTTACATCCACTAAAGAATTGAGAACTAGTTACGGACAGAGACTGCTCCGTTTTCTCTGTAAATATTTACCTCAAGTTTTCTTGCTATTCGAAGCTAGGGAAGAGATTCAACCTCGCAACAGGCCCTACTGGATAGGAACAAGCACTCTTCACTACCGATGTTTAAGATTTTGGACAAAGTTGAGGCAAATATTTAAGTTTTAACTATAAGCTCAGTAAGCAGTTACTTCACAACGCACTGTTAGAAATTTCTCGGGAAAAATGGTTAAATAACAATTTATTGAATGGTTATTTTACCATATTTAATAAAGACAGTCAAATAACCATAAATAAAATATTAATCAAACTGTTTATTGACCACTTTCACCTAATACGGTTAAACAACCAGAATTTTATCCCACCAGCTAGAATCACTTTATGAAGCTATTTAGTTCTTTGCAACTGCTTACATATCATAGCCGAGCGGGCTTATCTTTCAATCTTATGACCGGCAGAATTTGAGTTCGAGTCCTAGTGTTGACACCACAATATTTCCTCCATTCCCAACACATGAAGAATTTCCAGTCTCCGGCACTCTCTAATGCCCAATGAAAAGTCGAGCTCCTATGTCTAGTTAAATAATATTTTTTTTTTTTTTTTTTTTTTTTTTTTTTTTTTTTTTTTTTTTTTTTTTTTTTTTTNTTTTTTTTTTTTACGTTTTTGAAAAATGCTAGTTGTAAATGGTTAAAAATACGTATAGTTTTGTATTCATGGTTTTATAACCATACCTTTTGTAAATGGTTTCAAAACCATACAGGAAAAAAATGTTCTTTACCGTAAACTTTACGGTTAATCGGATGGACAGACAGCTGCCAGTTATTTTACCATAATTTTAGAATGAAAATCTTAAGAGTGAGTCACAAAATAAGATGGCTAGTTTTTGTTTTGATATCGTTAGTCAAATTTTCCGCTTTCCCTCTAATGTGAAGTTGTGAAGTCACACTGATTGGATATTATTATGTTTGTAATAATTAAATTATAATTAATCATTATCATCACTTGACTTTCCGTTCTTATCATTCGTCGTCATTCTAAATAAAACTTTTCTGAGAAAATATACAGTGTGACCATTAGGAAGCTTTCCATTGAATAACCTTTTAATTATTACAGAAACTTTCCGTCTTAAATAACTTTTTAATTAGTACATTTGGGAATTTTCTACTTTGAATAATCTTTTAATTAGTTCATTTGAAAACTTTCCATCTTTCCTTTGGATTAGTACAATTTTAATAAAATCGCTAAAACACGTCAACTTTGAAAATTTAAAAACCCACTGTAAAAAGTTATTACAAAAAATGAGGTCCGTGATATTAAATACTTCGTGAGGATAGGCGACCGCTAGTATAAACTATTTTTATTTTCGAATGCTTGAAACCGCTATAATTTTTTTAAGAAAAATATATAACTGTGTCTCTTTGTCAAAAAGCGTTATAAAATATAGAGGAGAATTTTAATTAGAGTAAAGGAGACCTTGGGACATAGAGAACTTCTGAGAACTTTATAGCATCATCAAAATTATTTTTATTCCAGTTAATAACTTCCAACCAATGGAAGATATCTCTGCAAATATTAAACTTGAAGATTCAAATAATTTTCTTGAAAAAAAAAGCAAATTTGCTATCTTAAAAGAAAACATTTTTTTAATACGACTTTCTAAAAAAATGTAACTGAATTTCAATTGGTTATAGAAAAGAAATGTTTTAGTGTTGAGAAAAAAAATTTTTTTTTCATTTAGATTAACCACAATCTTCATTTTTTTAAAGCCATGGAGTGATTGTACAGTGCGCAAAAAATAAACGGACCACCCTAAATAACTTTTGATCAAATGATCTGATCTTCCCATTTTAAGACGTAATTTTAATGGTTCAAAGGGGTGACTTCAAATATGCTAATTAATTAGTGCAAGCAATATTTTAAGTTACAAAATTAGACACAAAAACATAATTTCTCTGAATAAACGTATCATTTTTTCAATAGATTCCAATTTCTGATCACTAAATATAAAGAGCATTTAATAATAGTTTAAAAAAATTTAGTGGCAAGCTATACAAATTTAATTTTTAGCATTCATTTTAAGAGTATCATTTTTTAAGACAAACTTTTAAATGAATGTTAAAATTTGTATATCGTACCATTAGAAATTTTTCCTGGCTGCTATGAAATAAAATAATGAAAAAATCATAAATAATTATTGAAAATAATTTTTTGCATATAATTATGTTTCGGGAATTAAATTTTATAATTGAGTGCTGAAATGTTTCCCTTCGTTTTGAAAATTCCCATGATATGGCGAAACGCACAAAAAGTAAAATTAGCATTAAAGAGTCAAACTTTGGACCACTCTCCTAACTAAATTATTGAGATCATATTTCCCAGATTGCGTGTATAACCCTTTTATTTTAAGGTTCTAAAATCCAAATCTGTCAAAAAAAAATTTGTTTTTTCAGAGAAAGTGCGTTTTTATTTCATAACTTACATGCTAACAATTATGCCAAAACATATGTAAATAAAGTAATAAAAATATGTAACAAGTATGCTAATTAATTATAGTTTGCACTAATTAATTTGCATATTTGATGTCACCGTCTTGAACCATTACGATTTAGTCCTAGCACGTGAAGATCCGATCATTAGATAAAAAATTATTCAGGGTAATTTTTTTTTCGCTCAAGATATAAAACTTTATGACAGTTTGTAATTTCTTCCTGAATTGCCGACAAATTTTAGTTTTAAGGTTTTTTTGTGTTGTAAATAATGCACAACTGAAGAAACTATTTAAAATCCTTTTTATAAGATTTTAAATCTAATTACAATTGTTGAAACCAGTAATCAAGCTGTGAAAAGTGTCCCTATGTACAGTGTTATAATCTTTATAATCATTATAGTTTTTTAAGCACAATTTTTTTTATTTTATTAAAAGAATAAAAAAGATTATAATAATTGGTATAGTTATATGTGATTCATGTTATATTTAATGGTATTAAAATAAATATATTTTAACAATTATGATAGCAATAAAAAAGTATTTTTTTCATGCATTCAATTCTTCATGCCCCTCTTTTTCATTTTCGTATAAAATTATCGTATAAGAAGAATATTTTTCTGTCTTCTCTGATGAAATTTAATTTACGCAGAATTTGTTGCATTGCATTTAAATAATTTGTTTGTGATAAAACCCGAGTTTTGGTGACCAACAGAGCAATTTTAAGATGTTTCCTCTTGGTATTTTTTTTTATTGGAGTACAATATTTTTCTAATATAAATAAATTAAAATGTGTGTAGAAAGATTAATTTCTTCATTAATAATCGCTATTCTAATTTTTCTAGGAAAAAACTATTGCTTCTCGATAATTGAAATTATTTGTTAACTACTGGTGAAATTTTTATTTTAAGGATAAGAATTTCAAGGGTCTACAAAATCTGGGCAGGTTTTTTAACAACGTTGTACTATATAAAAAATGTTTTGTCTGGTAATTGGTCATAGCTTGTTCAAAGCAAACAAGGGACCATCAAAAAATGATACATTTTGGACAGATTTGGAGTGCGTTGCAAAATTTGCAAAAAAGCAGGAAAAACTTTTTTTTGTTGTTGAGAAAGAGATGCAAGCATAAAATTTTTGTTAGTGATCTATTTCCTTTTCAAAACTTGTCTGCAAAATGCACAAAATACATTTTTATGGCCTTCATGGTGTGAGCAAAAATTAAGAAAATACTGTATTTATAAAATGATTTAAGAAATAGCTTACTATACTTTACTTGCATGAAAAATTCAATAAAATAAAATCGCATGGTTTTAAGAGAGTCAAAAGGAGGGGAAAAAACGTACTAAGATGCTATCTTAAGGATTTAGGGGTAACACATTAAATGTGCAGTTTAATCACTGCAAAAGATGGCTGCTAATTTTTGGTTACAAAATGTGTTACAATATAATGACTGATTTTTAAATTGTGTGGTGAGCTGATTTCAAATATGTTGTCATTATTTTCAGTTTCTATATTGACAAATGAAGTATTTAACTGATAGATGTTTTACGCTAAATTAAATGAGACAAAATCATTGGGATTAATAGTTTTAAAAGTTATTGAAAAGTTAAAATGTATCAGAAGCACAATTTTGTACTTTTACCTAATTACACACATGACATTACTATTTAGAGATGTGAAGCATAGTTTCTTGTTTAATTTTATGATGAACCCAGTTTAAAAAAATTAAATCAATTCGTTGAACTAATAGTTATGAAGTTATAAAGGTTTTATGCGTAGATGGGTATAAATCAAAGACTACTCTGTAAAAAAAAAAAAGGTTTTTCAAAGTTGAGCAAACCTGTGTCAAAATCTCTTCGAAATTAATACAGCCGAATTTGGAAACCCAAAGTACTCATTTTGTGGATTAGTGACATGCTCTAAACAACATAATACTCATTTTTGAGACTCTGGCCACTTTCATTTAAACAACAAATGACTCAAAATGAGTTCATGATTAATGGTTTTGAGACTATGCATTTTGCTCAAAAATGAGTATATGCTGTTTTCAATATGTTTAATAATGAATTTATGCTTTCAAATTCGATTGTATTTGATTCTGAGCCATTTTGTCACAATTTCGTTGAATCCCTTTTAACAGTATCTTCATTCTTAAAGACCACATTTTTTTTAAACTGCTTTTTCTACCGACTTAATTTTAATTTTATTAGACTTATTCAAAAAAGTACACAAAAAACAATACTTCACGCTCTCTTTAGCAAACTAAGATGCGTAAAAATGTTTCCCTTCTAAAGAATTAAAATAAATATAAAATTATATTTTTAAGTAATAAATCATTAATATATCTTAAACTTTTAGTATTATCGACTTAGGGATTTATTTTTATTTAATTCAGCGTAGTAAAATGCAGTGTGTTATTTAAGTGATGGTGCACTTTTGACCTGTGACCGGTCAATTGTTCACCATGACTTTACGGACACCCAATACATTAGAAGCAATACCTCATTTGTATAGATAAAAATTGCTTCGAAATAGATTACGCATTTTTACGCATTTAATATGAATAATTACTCATTTTTGTGTTAATCTATACTCTATGAAAACGGAATACTCATCTCAATGTTACTCAATGTTTTCTCTCGTTCTCCACCCTTTTCCTCTTTCTGTTAAGATGGTAGTAGAAAATCTTGCTTTCCCCTCTCGGCAGTAAGTTTCTGTAAGATGTTGAACTATACTTGCTAGAAGACAAGGCAAAATTATCCGTAACCATGGTAACGGTGAAGAAAAAAGTGTGGAGAGTGGAGAAAATGAGTAAATTTCTGGCGCCTGTTCTAATTATAAAGTGTATAATGGTATACAAAATGTCAATTTGATTTGTAACAGATCTTCCAAGACAGTACGTGAAATTCAAAAGTTATTTAGAGTACCTGAATGTCTCTGTAAATGAGAATGATAAACCATGCATTTTGTTTAATTGATGATGTAAAATGCAATGTAATGTAAGATTTGTAAAATGTTAAGTGTGTATGATTTTAGTGATTTTTAGTTTTAGAGTCATGTGTTTGTTGATTATTATTTTATTTTTATATCTGTCTCTTCGGATTTGGTTGGCAGTTATTATATATATTT